CCCCCCCACCCGGTCAACCCTCTGGTCCCTCTGAAATAAACACTGCTGCACATGCCACAGCGCACACATCACAATGGCACAATGTCGTTTTATTACTCTGAGATTTAGATTATTACCTGCATCGTGCCGCAGAGGCGCAGACTAAGAATCAGTATGCCTGCTGCCCATCTCATTGATGCCATAGCCCACAATAATACAATTTCGAATGTTTATACTCAGTTCAGTGAAAGAACATTCAAATTCTACGCATATCCCCGCGTCAACCTGCTTTCGAAATCTGCTCCTCTACTGCGAGATGGTGCGTGGGGAACCAGTTTTAGTCGGTGGCTCAGAGCGCTGGTGTTCTCTCGCCAAACAGAGAATAATAATTTACCATATACTATGGAAATATGGAATATACGCTAATCAGTAATCTAATTTGTGATAATATCACAATAATACTGTGTAGGTACTTGACTCTGTTTATACGTTTTTTTGCAAATAGCACATTAGCATAGCATTTTGTTTTGATTTTCAGTGTTAGTTCTGAAAATACACCTACGATGAGTGATGTACCTTCAACATCTGCAGATGGTTAAATTATACCAATAGTGAATAATCCAAAAAAAAAGGTAAGACGTGTAACAATCAAAGATAGTAGTATTAGTATAGTTATATAGACCTTATACAAGTATAAGGTATTAAGTTCTATGAGAGCGATACTCTTTTCGCCCAAAAATGACCCTTCGCTTTTCGCCCAAATATTTTAAAACTACTTTCCCTTTTCGCCCAAGAATATTATATAGCACTTTTTGACCAAATTTTTATAATACACACTTTGGGAAACACTAACTTTAAATTATTTATATCTAACATAATAATAAATTTGTTATATTAAAATTATTAATTTTGTTRCGAACCATCAAGAAGGTTTGTGCACAAATAAAATAACGAACACTTCAATATTACTTTCAATATTTAAAACTCGAAAAGAAAACTTACAATTACAATAACTGAATTAATATTATGAATAAAATGGTCTGACAATTAATAAGGTTCTGGTGAGAATAACAATGTTCTGTCTTACTACTCTAGAATCCAACTTCCACAGTGCCACGGCTTGCTATACAAGCCGTGACTATATAGCCAGCGCTTGCCTGGAATTGCTGACGCAGCCATCCTTCCAGACAGTCGCCGTCTTACAATATTATTATCTACTATTTGTTTTTATATTATAATATAATATATACTAACTAATATAGCCAGGGGTTCATAACAATTTGTGTTAATTAATTGTATAAAGCCATTTAGCATTACCCAGAGGGCAGAGAGTACCACGAGGAGGCGGCTTCTGTATTACTCTCCAAAAATGTATTGTGTTTTTGTACAGTTTTTGTACATTAATATCATTTTTATATAATATAAGAGTAAGTTTATATCAAAAATATAAATCGTCAAAATTTTAAATAGAATAGTTAAATGAAATTGATTTAATAAAATCATACCGATTAATTGTTCCTGCTTGACCTGTTTTATATTTTTGTATTTTTAACTAACGCGTTTGAACCTTTTCATTCTTTTTTTAACAAAAGTTTTAATCATATTTCTCCACTAATAAGTGCCTGGTTAAGTGTTATTAATGAAATTCAAACTGAAGTCTACATCAGTGGCGGTTATAAGGGGGAGGGGGGATAGGTGGATCGCCCCCCCCTTGGTCCGTGTTTTTTTATAATAAATTATTATTGAAATTTTATAATAAATTATTGAAAGAAGTATTAATCATGGTACTATTTTTTTGTGTTTCTAATTTATAGAAGTATCAGCAATTGCCAATTTGTAAAGTTGTCTTGCGCATTATAATATGGTATATTTTTAAATGATTGTAGTACATTTTATTAATTTTTGTTATTATAGTATATGTACGCACGTATTATGTTATTCGGAACGTCGCGTGTCATTGTTTATATATGTATATATTATATATATTATATATATGGCTGCTATAGGAATAATCTCAATAATGTAATGGATTTCCCATTCTGATATTACAATAATTTTAAGAGGCGCGTAGCCAGGGGGGAGGGTGTTACAGGTGTAATAACACCCCCCCCCCTCTAAGCCGTGGTATAGTTAATATTTTTTTATCAAGATAAAGATGCATCATAAGCACGAATATATATTAAATCGTAATTTACACTTATTTATCAAAATTAAGTATATTAGTAGTTTATATTACGATAACAATAATGTAAAGCACTAAAGCCGGGATCCGGCATTAATTACTATTTTAGACCGTTCTGAGAGTTTTATCGATTACTCGTTCCATGCACGATTTAATATATCTTTTTATGCAGCGTGTAAGAAAACGTTTACATCTTCTTAATTATTGATTATCATGATTAACTATCGTATACCTACGTAAAGTTATCAATTTTGTGTTTATAATTTTTTCAATTAATTTTGAATAACACCACCCCTTAGAAATTTCTAGCTACGCGCCTGCGGCGGGCCGTACCCGACACYCGTATGTGTTGTCTCCGTCTTACAAGTGCGTAACATTGAATGGTGATGAACTGATGAATGATGATAGAATTTTAATGTTTTAACTTGGTTTGTCAACRTAACATTTTGAGATCGCTCCTGAATTTTTTAAGCAACATTATAAATATCTAAATGTCGCTCTGCAAAGCTACAAAAATATTTTTTTGGAATCCTTATGACGAAAAAAATAATTTAATATTAAAAATATATTTTGCTGTTTTTATCATTTGTGTCAATTGAGAATAATTGACACCTAGAAAATTTCATAAACTTGTTATATTATATACTTTATCGGCAATATAACATAAAGATAAACCATATTATATTATTATAGTAATATTATAGAAGACAGAAGCAGATTGCCTTTAAATAAAGTTTACGTTAATCGTTAATCTAGTTTAATAGGTATCACAGAAACATAAACATTATAAATCTGTGAKTATCGTTCAGTGTTCACAGACTTGTCAAACTTCTATTTATATTTATAGAAATCTGTGGTATCGTTGGCCAATCCCGGTGACCGTGATAAGCCGAAATCAGATTCGAAACCCTTAACCAGGGTAAAGTAAATAATAAACATATCTAAAAAAATGTATTGTAAATACTGTTACTGTTGTTACTTGTTAATGTCGTTCATAGTATTTCCGAGCAGTTGATTAAACAGTACAAAATACACATTCAATATACATATTCTGTTAATTTGTTTTACTCTACCACTCATTTCACATTCGAATAATAATCATATTAATTGATAATTCGTTGTCGGTGTGACAGGCCGGCGCCGGCGAATCTCGGTGTGGTGCAGTTGCAGCCCTCAATTGCTCAATTCTTTGATTCCGAATTGCTGTTGCATCCGGATTCGGTGCATCGTCATTCGTCATTTGTCAACAACATTACACAATATAAATACCTAACACATATCACAATAATATTATCATATCATGTCGTGCGCTTCCGCCTTCGCATTTCAGCAAGACGATCGATGTCGGCGATGTTGCTATTGTTGCTGACTATCGACTCGCCGCTGTATTTGTTTGTTTTCGTCCGGCAGTGACGGGTGAATTTTTATTGGCCACAGAAATTAATATGACGATCATACCGAAAATTAAATAACAAATTTACATAATATTTTAGGGAAATAATCCATATCTGTGTGTATACTTGAGACTGTCGAGTGTCGGGCGTCAGCGTGTGCCGTGTGTTAAGGTGCACGCTAGCCACTAGGTAGTAGGTATAGTACGACATTTAATAATATTAATCAGTAATCACGTAGTGCCRTAGTAGTTACTAGAAAAGTAGTCTACAGAAAAATAACAAATAGTATTAAGACGTAAGTCACTCTGGGCAGGATTAACCAAAGCACAGTGTCTACGACTTAAGACATAATATTACTGTCTGCCTGCCTACCTTAATATGAAATAGAAAACAATTTTACGCTAGACACCTACAATAAGCATATGTGTTGTAGGCATTTGTTTATTTTTAAGTAATTTAAAAATTTGACTCAAATTGGTCATCATATTTTAACTAATGAAAACGACTCGATAGTTGTTTAGCTACAGTGCTCCAAAATGTTCAGGGCCTAGCTCTTACGAATAGTTTAATCTGACACTGTGGATGCTGATTATAGTATATTATGTATTAGATGTCAAAAAATCGAACCAAGAGYGTTAGTCGCTAGTACACAGACCAGGTCTGCTWCTATTGTTCAAAACAGAGTCTAGAATATTATTTACACTCGTAGTAGTATCTTCATGATTGTGTTAATGTATCGTCATTGTTGTAGTTTAACTTGGAATCATGGTGGAAGACAAAATCCTGTACACTTTCCGGGGGTGGTTGGCATTTGTGGCTTTCATGGACCTTGGCGTAACGTTTCGATCATTTTTTGARAACAAATGTATCATTGGGACGCAGACAAATTTACAGGCAGATGAACACTTTATACACGGTACTTACATTAGTTTTTAGATCTGACTAACAGCATTGATAATAAATGCTAATAGTCTACTAAATCTAAAACTAACAGAAATATTATTTGCAATTTGGGTATTTTTAAAACACGCATATTTTTTTAAAGTTTATGTTTATGCTACTCCCGACTATACCAATCCTTTTATTTAGGTTGAAGAACCTAAATAAAAGGATTGGTATAGTCGGGAGTAGCTAATCTAGTATTTACAATGATGTAATTTCTGTCAATAACGGTTGATATTTTAGAGAAAATGCAGGTTAAATTATAAAATGTAATTGTCAYTGAATACTGATTAAGGGCAATGCACAAATTTTGTAAAAATCTATAATTATATTTCTTTTATTCTACACTAAAATAATAATAATTAAGTTTAACTGTAGTGAATAATAAATTATTCAATAGGTAATTATTGAAACTCAAATGAGAATTTTCAAAATTATTCAATGMATAAGAAAAATTTTAATTTATAAAATATCTTAAATTTACATTMATAAATGCTGAAATAAGTCAATAGAACAAATTGAAAACAATTGATGAATAGTTAGGATTTATTATTCTWTGAAGAACAACTTTGAATAATATTGGTAGATATGGTTTTGTATTATAATTATATATTATATCTATTTGATTTAGAATGAAAATATATACCAGATGGAATATTAATCTTATTTTTTATTTAAATTATTCACAGAGGAATTAACATTACCAAGAGTGCTGGGTATGTTTTCACTTCTTAAAGCTCTATGTTTGATACATTGCTCATTATTTATTCACTATAAGCCGTAAGTACTAAAAAAGTAGTAATTTTGTACTTAGTATTGAGCACATATTTTTTACGATTTTATACTGTTCAATAGAATTAATTTGTTTGTATCATTGATTTGTAGAATGGTCAGTATTGGTGCTATGTCTATGGTTTTATCAATTGTTTTGTATCTCAGTGAAGCAATACATTACCGTTCAACTACTTTAAATTTCTTTATTGTTTTTCCAAGCATTTTAAATGGTAATGTAATACTTTTGAAATAGAATATTGRAAAAAAATCACTTAACCTATTTTTTTTTTAAATTTTCAAAGGTTTAACATTGATTGGTTTATACTTAATTGTAC